AAAAAAAAAAAAAAAAAAAAAAGGGAGACGACTCTTTCTGTGAACAACAAACTCTAAAAAGGTTGATCCTACTTGCCCCCGATCCTTCCATGTTCTAATGACCTTTCTTCCTGGGTTTTCACAGTCCTTTTGAAACCTATATAAAATTAATATCGGGACACAGGGTAAAAACTGTAAAAGAGCCTTGAGTCTTAGAAATGAGCGAATCTGTTGTTTCCAAACTTGCCTTCACTCTGATACATGGCAACTGATTACCTTCATGTCCTGTCCCTAGGGAAGTGGGGCGCTGCCCTGCAAGGCTGATAAACATAGTCTCTCTTAAACAATGGACCTAAGACTGCTTGAGGACAAAGTTGGCTTTAATCTCTGGGAATTAAGGGGACCCCAGCACCTTCCTCCTAAACTACTTCCATAATGATTCACAACCCAGGAGGTAGTAGCCGACAGTCATGGGACTTGCTTTATAGATAGCATCTATTGCAAAACCTCAGAATGGCATCTGAGATATTTTTCAGACTCTGATGGACCCCAGGCCCCGAGCACCAAAAAAAGATGGCTCCACTGGTCTGTGATGCCCCCTCCCAGAGATTGGCTCTGCTACAGGGAGACAGTCTTGACACCCTCCGTGACTTTATCAACCAGTCAGCAGCCCCTACCTCTCTGCCCGCAAAGTTCCTTTTAAAAATTCTATTCTCTGAATTTTGGGGGAGGTGGATTTGAAGGTATACTTCCCAACTTCCACGCTCAGCTGCTTTGCAATATGAAACTCTCTCCATTGTAATGACTGTGTCAGTTCTGGGTTTTCCGGGCAGTGGGCATAAGAACCTGGTCAGGCTGTAACACTTTTATAGAGATTCTCAGGTACTTTATTTTTTGTTTAGATTTCATTTCTCAAGGGCTACCTTCCCTGGTTCGACCTCATGAATTATGTCGATCCCCCCCATACATTGCCAATCCCCGTTGTGTATTCTCTGATCCCCAAAAATCCCTCCTTGAGAGTGCTTATCAAAGTGGAGCTCTTACATTTATTTAAGTAAATATTCATCTGTTTCCCTTACACAACTCCCCAGAGGTAGCCATGACTCAAAATTAGGCATGTGACATGTCAGGTTTTACTCTTTTTTTTAAAAAGCAAGGTTTGTTGAGAGGACGGAAAAGCTCCCACAGCAGGAGGGGACCCAAAGCGGTTGCCCTCATTGTTTTTTATCTAGAGCTCCGAACAAGGCCTGACACACAGTAGGTGTTCTGTGGGTGTTTGATGTATGATGAACCAATGAATAGAAGACAACTGCTATCATTCAGCAACGGCCAGCCCAAGGATGCAGCAGTCTTCACAGATATTTGCTCCTGTGCCCTCTTTTTTTTTTTTCTGGAGTTGGAGTCTCACTCCATCGCCCAGACTGGAGTTCAGTGGCTCGCTCCCAGTCACTGCAGCCTCGACCCGCAGGGCTCCGGTGATCCTTCCGCCTCAGCCTTCCGAGTAGCCGGAACTTCAGGCGGGCGCTACCACGCCCAGCTCATTTTTGATTTATTGTAGAGAGGAGGTCTTGCCAAGTTGCCCTGGCGGATCTCGAACCCGCGGGCTCAGGCAATCCACTCACCTCGGCCTCCCAAAGTGTAGGATTACAGGCTGAGCCACCGAGCCCGGCTTGCTCTTGTGCCTTCTAAAATAATTCTGAAAAACAACATTTACCTCTACCCACATTTTTTAATTGATATGTTCATTTTTATCATTAAGTATGTGTGGTTTCAAGATGATAACTTCTAGCATATTTTAAATATTAGAACTTAAAAAATTAAACTATGACATCATTCTTTAAGTGTACCTATGAATCTGTTATTATGAGATCTAATATTCTCTTTCATTTACTTCCACATTTCTATCCCTCGCTATTCAAGGGATGGAAGAGACAAAGTTGTTAAAAGAAAAAAAAAATGCCTAATTAATCATTAAAGGAAGTGGAATTAAATTATTAAAAGAAGCTTCCAGTCTGGGGACCTGGAGATTTTTACATTCAGAGCGATGGTACCTCAGTAAGATTCGAAGAGCGACATGCTTTCCTTTCATGCCGTAGGGGAAGGTTTATGGACACAGACACATGCTCAGGTAGGTCAGTTTTAGGAAAGATTCTGCCACAGAAACGGAGAAACTGGAAATGGGTTCTCTAAAAAGAAGCCTCCGGAGCCCCTTGGAAAGTCTCGAGACCCCATCCGGGGGTAATGCAGCCCAATAGCCTGCAGAGGGCAGTGTTGGACAAGCGGTCGGATCGCTCGGGCACTCCCTCCGAGTGGCAGGAAGGGCAATCCAGGCTGGGTGCTGTGAGAGCCCAGTGTGGGGGCCCAGTCCGGTTCTCGCCCGTGTGTGTGTTTGCACAGGAAAAGGGTTCGGAAAAGGCGATGAGAATGAAGGATTGAGCTTACGGGCTGACGAGATTTTCGTTCTTTTCCTCTTTGTGAGGTGAAAACAACAGTGAAATCTCCACAATAGCTCTCTCCAGGAGACAGGCCAAATGGCCAAGAGCCCCAAACGTGGAGGCAGATGGTGGGGAGCTCCGATCTCCCGCCTGCCTTTCCGAAGCGTAGGCTGGGAACCTTTCCAAACCTCAGCTTCCCTGGCCGTCAAGCGGGAGGAATAGGACCTTCCTGGTTGGGATGTGGCGAGGATTAAAGGAGACGGTTCGGGAAAAGTGAACGGCATCTAGCCAGAGCTCAATAAATAATAGTGATGGTGGCAAAGATGATGATATTGAATTGGCATTTTGTCAAGCATGACATTTTCAAAACTTTCCATTCATGTCTGAAGAGGAAGAATCAGAGGTGAAAAATCAAGCTATTTCCATGTTGTTTTACAAGCCTAGGAATTAGAAACAGAAACAGCCTGGAGGAAGTCAGAATCAGTGTGTTATCTGTGAGCCATGTCTTCCAGGACTGTTCCCCCCCCCCCAGTGTCTCTGTGTCTAACATTGTGTGTGTGATGACTGTATGGCATGACCAGCTGCCTCAGAAACACCTGTCCCGGACATAAAACTAATGACTTTTCTCATTACATTTATCCTCTGTGAAATCTCCAAGGGTGGTGATCAACTGGTTGAAAAAAAATGGCAAGTTGGACAAATTGCTTGGATGAACTGAAAGTAAGACAGAGAGTAAGACTCCTCCCCCCCCCTTCTGCCTCACATGGGGAAAGGTAACAGACTGATTCAGAGAGAGGTGTGGATATGACTTGGACGAGATAACTTTCCTTTCACCTGGCAGCTGTCCAGCCCCCAAATAGCTCCTGTGTCCGGTCCAAAATAAGATCACATGAGAGGGGAGAAATAAACACGCCAGTATTCGTCCTTGGCCTGTCCATGGCACGCCGGTGTCAGCTGCATTCACAGGGCTCCAGTGCCGCCTGACCCCTCGGTGGCCGCCCTCCATGGGCTCCACGAGGCTGGGAGGCCAACCTGCTAGCAGGGTGGGTGTGGTGTGTGGTTTCACTCTGTCTCACGGGGCTCCTCCGAGCTCCATTCACACCAAAAGGGAGCAGGAGCCAGAGGACAAGTGGGTCCAGCCACTCGGACTCCGGGAGAATATGGGCATCGCCTCTTTCCTTGCAGGACACTCCCTTCTGTTGGTGAATGGGAACTCCCCTCCTCCTGCGGCTGCCGGCCTGCAGCAGCCCTGCTAGGACAGCCTGACGCTGCAGAAGCTTACACTGCCCCAGGAAGAAGGCGTCCCAGATCCAAAGCAAAGAGGTGAGTGCATCTGTGTCTTTCAGGGGCTCAGATTGCTACAGGCTTCGTGTTTGCACCCAGCATGACTGTTCCTCCCCAGCCCGCCTCCTTTTCATCCTCCCTGATGGGAATTTGTGGCAGACTTGCATCTATGTGGTGAATACTAGAGGGAAATATTTCTGTGCACCCTTCATTCAAAGGCCAGCTTGCTCCCAGGAAGAAAGGGTAGGTCTGGTTCTTAGTGGGAAGCGGGAAGTGATTCCCACCTAGTGAACGATCTTTGCTGCCATCCAAGAGACATTGACCAGGAAATTGTTAGGCAAATCCCATTACAGTTGAGTCAAGCTTCATTTTAAAAAGCACTGCATGAAGCAGAAAATAAAATAAAAGCAAGCCAGCTGATTCTGTGTTGCTGGGCAAAGGGAGAAAAGCAAAAACGGCATGCACAGAGCTTTCTTTTTCCCGTTTCTTCCCTTTCCTATCTCTTCCTGACTTCCTAGAGTCCTGAGAAATATACTTAACAGATCCAAGATCTCCTTTCTTTGATTGAGAGCAAGAGGAATAAAATCAAGGGTTTGGAGAGAATTGTTCTGTATGCACACTCGAGACAAAAAGGAAGCCAGTTTTCAGAGTTTGCCTCTCCCCTCAGGAGTCTCTGCACATCACATGTACCCAGGTCTCTCTAGGGATATGTATAGAAGCCACTATCACTTGCGCATACAAACTGTCATCCTGGTCATAGACTGCCCCTGGGCTGTGGACTCCAGATATTCATGCTAAAAAGCAGCCAACAAAATTCTGGTAAGAACAAGGTAACGACTTGACTAAGTCAGGATTCTTTTAGTGATCATAGACTGAAATTCAGTTTGAAGAGACCTAGGCAAAAGGAGGACTTTCTTTTGCTCATGTAACTGAAAAGGCCGCGGTTTTGGTATAGTGAGATCCATGTGTCCAGACAATGGAACCCTGAATCTGTCTCTGTTCCTCGCTTTGCCTTCCCTGTATTGCTATTTCCAGGAAACTTGCCTATGGTGGCGCCAAGATGGCGACCAGCAGCTCCTGCTGACACCTTCCAGCATAGTACCTGCCAGAACAGATGCTTCCCTTTCGAGTTCTAGCTAGAGTCTCAGGGCTGCTCTCACAGAACCCATATGGGTGTATCGTCCATCCCTGCCATGGGGGTGTAGTCATTCCCACCCCAAACCCACATGAACCAAAAGCAGTGAAAGGATGGTTCCCCAGAGAAGATCCAGGTGCTTGTCCCAGGAGAATGGAGGCAAGGTACGCTGGCCGAGGCCAGTGGCTGCCACTCAGTGTCGTTCTTTTTGCAGAGATCTAGATTAAGAGTCAGAGCTTCTCTGGCATAACAGCTCCTCCTTCCTCCCTCTTACCCACCGTAAAAGTTTATTAGTGACAGAAGGTCTCACAGGAAGGATAATCATTAGGGGAGCAGGTGACTTAAAACCTCAAGGCATGTCATCACAAGAGAACCCTGGTAGCAGAAAGACACCAGAAGTCCAGTCTCTGGCTCAACCCCCCCGGACCACCCACCATGCCCGACCCGCCCAGGGCCCCAGATTGCCTGTGCGGGCTGGGTCTCCCTTCCCTCTCACCCACCCTTGCCCAGTTCTGTCTCCCTCCTTTACTGATATGAGCTCATCTTGCCTCACAAGGGCCGGCCTTGGTGCCGCCTCCCTCAGAGACCTTATCTGGCCCTTCCAGACTTTTCTGCCGTCTCCCCTCTCTGAATCTGGATGGCGTTGACTGTCAGGATTGGAGCTTACTGTTTACATGTTCTTTAAGAACTTCACGTATCTTTGTTTGTCTCACAACTTGAACTTCACATTCCCGAGGGAAAAATTAAGTTTCGTCTTCAGTCCTTTCTGTGATATCTAACACATAGTAGGTGCCCAATGAAATGCATCCAATTCATTGGCCAATAGAAAACCACATGTTCTCACTCATAAGCGGACCCTGAACATTTACCATAATACTATAAGAAAGGGATTGACAGTAGCGGGATACTGCCAGGGTAGGGGTGGGGTGGGGGGGGTGGGGAGCACAGCATCAATAAAGGTATCTGATCTCACGTCAGGCAAAGTGGGGACCAAAGGGAAGCCCAAACTTTACCTGTGTGATGACTACTTGTATACCCAGTCCCGAATTGTACCCCACAACTTTAAAATAAAATCTAAAAATTAAAAAAAAAGAAAGAACTCTAGCCTCCCTGAATAGCTTAGGGAGAATGGATAGATTACTTGGGGTCTTTAATTCTGACCTTAAAAGTAATATAACAACTATAGCAAACACCGATTGGGCTTGGAACATACTTCGTAGCTCCAACAGACATAATCTCTGGTAGTCCTCTCAGTAAATCTACAAGGCGAGTGCTGCCATTATCCCACTGAACAGAGAGAGAAACTGAGTCACAAAGGCTTGAACCACTTGTCTTAGATCATACAGCCAGGAAGTGGGGATATTGGGATTGGGGCCCAGGATGCCTGCCGTCTCATTGCCTATTCCACCCACCATTGACATGCCTATCTGTGGGATTTCCTGCTGCCTGGTCCTAGAGAGCGAGGGACACAGGTTGTTCAGAGAGAACAAGGAAGCTCAGGCATTTTAGACCCCTCTTCTGCCACCTGGGCTCACAGTACTTCTCCTGGGGGAGGGTCCTTATTAGATTCTACCCAGGGTTGAATCACACCTCCTGCACCAGAGCCAACAGGAAGGTCAGGGGGTCACGGATTTCACCGAAGGAGGTGCCTCTGAGATGCTGCCCTTTCTCTGCCCCCGCCCGGGGTGATCAGGCTGGGACCCTCCCTCAGAGGGCAGCTTGGAAGGCAGCCAAATTCTGATCTCAAAGGAAACCAAAATCTTGAGAAGATAGTGATGATTTTTATGCCATCTGTGCCCCCACATCAAGCCACCGGACTCTTGGCTGATGCAGTCATCCGTGTACTGACAAAACTCTTGGTCCAAGGGTGTGATGGGTCTTTGCACACTGGCCTGTTCATATAGGCTAGTATCTTTAAAGGAGCAGATCCTGTTGATTTATGTCATTTCACTGATCTTCACAATACCCTGTGAGTGATCAAAGAGCTGAGGTTCTCACCTTCCTTCTACTGATGGTGCCACTGAGGCACAGTGAGAATGAACGGAAGGTCCCTACTGGGGGTGGAAGAGTTCTGAGATCTTTATGATCTAAGCCTGCTTGCTTCTCTGTGAAGTTGTGATGGGAGGAAGTGGATACATGTATTTCTCAGGGTCAATCTTTAAGAGAAAAAAAAAAAAACCGCTAAACCCAAGAAAAATGAAAATGTAGGCTTACACAAAAATTTGTACATGAATAGCATTATTCATAATAACCAAACAGAGAAAAGAACCCAATTGTCCATCAGCTGATGAAAGGATAAATGGCAGGTGGTATGTCCACGCAATGAAATATTACCCAGCAATAAAAAGGAAAGAAAGTCTGATGAGTGCCGCACCACAGATTAACCTTGAGGACATTATACTGAGGGAAAAAGGCCCATGTTGTATGATTCCATCTTTATGAAATGTCCAGGATAGGGAGGTCTATAGAGACAAAAAGTGGATCAATGGTTGCCTAGACCTGGCAGGAGGGAGGAGTGGAGAGTGACTGCTGATGGGTACGGGGTTTCTTTTTGGATGACAAAAATATTCTAAAATTACAGTGGTGATGGCCGCACAACTTTGTGAATACTCCAAAACCTCTTAATTGTACGCTTTAAATGGGTGAACTATGGTACGTGAATGACATCTCAAAAAGTTGTTTGAAAACCCAAGTCACTGCTAGTGAAATAATTAACCCAGTGGCAAGGCTCTGCTGAAGAATGTGGTCTCACCCTGTCTGCTCTGATAAGCTCATGTCTTGTCCCACAGAACTTGGCCATAGGTCAAACAATTCCGGGAAAAGAATATAGATGGAAAAGATCGGATCCATAGATGTCTCCCCAGAGTCTAAACTGGGAGGATTTTTTTCCTCTTTCTTGGAAAGGTCATTTTATGGAATCAATCTCACGATTTTATTTTCACTTCTGGATTTCAAATCATGCTTCGAAAAGTGTTCTCTATTCTAAGACTATAAATCTTATTAACTAACATTTTCCTGTAATGTTTTCCGCTAAGGTGTGTCTTCTTACATTTAGACCTCCGATTCATCAGGACTTTAAATAATGATCTAAGGATCCAGATTGGGTGATTTTGTTTGTTTATGTAGTCAAACATATAGTCAATTACTAAATAAAGTATTCTTAACCTGGTGTTAACATTGTGCTTGGGGCCTGGCGCAGTGGCTCATGTATGTAATCCCAGTAATTTGGGAGGCCAAGGCGGAAGGATGGCTTGAGAACAGGAGTTTGAGACCATCCTTTGTAACATAGTGAGAGCTCGTCTCCACACGCCCCTCCAAAAAATCCAAAAAATTAGCCGAACTTGGTGCTGCACACCTGTCGTCCCAGCTACTTCAGAGACTGAGGTGGAAGGATCTCCTGAACCCAGGAGGTCAAGGCTGTGATCATGCCACTGCACTCCAGCCTGAATGACAGAATGAGACTCTGATTCTAAGCAGACAAATAAACAAAAGAATTGTGCTTGGGGTACCTCGTAAAGTCCCGAAATTAAATGTGAAAAGTGGGTGTGTGTGCGTGTGCATATGCATTTATTTTTTTTTGGAGAATAAGGTTATAGATCTTGTCAGATTTTCCAAGAGGTTTTGTGACTCAGATAAACCCCTGAGCTTTCTATATGAACCAACAGGACAGTTGTTGGACCACTTCAGGGGAGGCCCGAGGAATTACTCCTGGGGAAAGTTCTCTGTCACATGTCAAGTGAGAGTCACATCAGCTTTTGGTTTGATGTTCCGCTGAGGCAGAGAATGAGGAATGACTCACTGGGTCCCCTTGGGCCTATAAAGCTTTAGGATTTTAATCCCATCAGTTGACAAATCAATGGAGAGGATGCATCATTTTAGCTGACAACACGTGGGGTTTTCTTGT